CAACGGTTGTTTTCTCAAGATAATGAAATCATTAACTTGTGATCTCAAGGATAACAGCATTAAAAAAAATGATATGCCGGTTCTCTGCTTCTGTAGCAGTCTGAATAATAACGCATCACATTTTATAAAGTGATTTATAGAATCATCCATACACCACCCACCAAGTCCAAGATGGAACACTTGAGTACAAGTGCAAAACAATTGAAAACACATCACTTGACACATATGTGTGCGTGTGGTTCAAGATAAATGTCTACACCAGTATATGTGTTTGGAAATCAAGCAAGCACTAAAACTGTCCTGAGGCAATTTCTGTGTATTGTCAATGTGTCATTAGATGCTGTCTTCAGATCTCCTCCTGCTGTGAGTGTCAGTCACTCAGACTGAGAGAAACAGCCTGAGGGCTGGATGGATGAGAAACGAGAGGTGCTACATCCTATTGAACAGGGCTTCAGTCTTGCAACATCTCCGTGGGTGGAGAGTGTGTGCTTGGGCTTATGCGCACTCATGTCCGTGACTGTGTGTATGTCTTCGTTCATATATGAGCGGAAGAAAACTCCCACATAGAAATGTGAGCCACTGCCTGCAGCTGCTTGTGGGTGTATGCAACACACATGAGGAACAAGGGGCAGACACAAGAGAGGACAGATAGAGAGACAGGTGAATTACAAGTGACTTCTAAGATAAAAATAATGAGGAAGACTCAACATACAAGAGGATATGTGTGACTCTGCCCTCTTGCTACAAACAGTGGCAGTTTACTCAGACCCTTCCAAAGAGGACCAAGCATTTCCTCCCTGATGGCTGTGAGACTTTACTGTGTTCCTCCAACACGAGCTGGCAGCAGCATCTTCACCGCTATTGATTTCCTTTCCTCCTCTATTTGGAAAAACATGGCTCACATGCCAGGATGAGACACTGCAACAAAGTTAGACTACCTCTCTTCATAACAGCATTATTGAAATGCAAAGGAAGAGAAGAAGAGAGTTTCAGAACAGACCTAATTTAGAAAAAACAAAATGCCCTCTGCAAAAATCAATAGAAAGCACCACCATGACACACACAAACAGTATTTTCAACAAAAATAAAACCAAGCAAAATTATAACATGAAAATATTCTCACAAGTGCTAGAACTTGGGCACATACACTTTAATATCACGTACAGGTCAATAGGACCTACTACAAGTTCAAGGAATGCTTGCAGTTATTGACATGTTAATGTCGTTGCAGACATTGGAGCTTTCAACAGCATCTGAAACAATCAGGCTGACCAGGGGCCAAAACAATCAAATCATCCTTGTGCAGCTTAATCACAATCCCAAGAGTTAATTTTTATGTTCACCATATCCTAAATACGAATATTTACAAATGCTTTGCTATTGTTGTTTCATATATATATAAAAAGGTACCTCTTCTGCAATCTCCAGGTTTTGGCTCCTGGCTACTGATGTAATTCATAGAGCTGAGGGTAGCTTAATCAGCTAGCCAGCTACAGGTAATAAAACTGGCTAGTGGGGACAGTTGTCAAAATCAACAGTTCGACCACAAATGGAAGCCTACTTCTGTCTCCATCTGCCAGTTTTATCACTATAAACTTCACATGTGCATTAGTTTGCCGGTAACAACAATAACAAAAGGTCTTAGAAAATGGTCAACAATTTTTTGATACAAAAAATACTATTTCTTTATCTTAGGTGACATGATCTGCCTATAACAGAGCCACCCACAGGGCTAAAATATTTTGTGTGTCCACACCTGTGTTTGTCTAGGTCTCTTGGAAACTGGCCCTGCTGCTAATGCTGCTAGGAAATCTGTGAATATGCTTATTAGTTATGTGTGTGTCCACTAACGTAGGTATGATGCTGCTGCTCATCAACAGTTCTCTAATGAGAGACAGAAAGTGTGTGAGAAATCTGCACCTGGACACAATTACCGGGCATTCACTTTCAATGGCTCTCCAGGCTGGAACAAGATCTCTCCCCGTACTTTCTTTGCGTTTCTTTGTTTGCATGCTTTCTGTTTTCTCATCAACATTTCTTCTTCACTCCTACATCCTATTTCCCCTGCCTTCGGCCATCATTAGTACACCCGCAGGTGTTTCTGAGAATCTTCATTTTTTCGCTGTTGAAGGCATCTTTTTTTTTTATTGTACTCCTGAAGACATTTCAGTTTTAAAGGACATCATCATTTTAGGACGTGATTTACTGGTCCTTAAAGATCCAGGACAGGTGAAACATCCAGATTTAATTTTAGATAAGGACTGATTACTTGGGCTCTTAAAACCTGGCGACATGATTTCATTCTCCCAAGATAAATTTCATCCGAATTGCAAGCTCAGAGTGCCAGTGTGTGTCCAATGGGCAGTCCACATTCACACACCAGACCTATAGCAAATATATGAAGTTAGTACGGTATTTTATGTCTGATTTCAGATAAATAGGTCATGCTGGAAATTTATGTATGTGATAAGTCTCAAGTCTCTCAAACACACCTTGTTTCAACGCCATAAACGCGAATCTTGGGTGAGAAGTGTTAAACCAAAAAATGCAAAGATGCAGTTGAAACACCTAGTTGGGAAAGAGAAAGAAAGAGAGCGACAGAAAAAGAAAGATGTTAATTATACAGTATGCCTTTGGTTGTCAGAGTGAGAAAGAGTGGGGCCTCTCTGGTAGTTGATGTCACTAATCACAGGGTGTGACACAGCATGACATCCTGCTATCTCTATGTGGCACACACACAAATACAAAATGTACACAATAAGCACACAACGACACATTCTATATTTGCATTTTCATCATAATAATAATTCTCTTGGCTGAACAATAATATGAGAAACGACTGTTGCATGGAATGTTTCTCCCAGGTAATGAAAGTTATTTTTTTGTTTCACCCCTTATGCACACAGATTCCAAAGCTGAATGTATGTAATACAGGCAAGAAAATAAATAAGCAACTAAACAAACAGATAAATTACTCATCAAGCAGAGCAGTGGTTATCAACATGGGGGTCGGGATGCCAAAAGGGGTCGCAAGAAGATTTTCAGGTGGTCGCCAAATGGTTGTGGGGAATAAAATGAAATAACTATTTTGGCAAGCAGGATGGAATGAGAGACTGGAAGCAGCTCTCAGCAATGCCATTAATGGCATTTAACACAAAATACAGTATCCTATAGGCTATACTATTGTATTATTATGTTTACAGGCCCAGTAACGTCAGTAATATGAGAATGTATTTCTATCCATTATTATGCTTTTAGGCCTAAAGATGACATGTTGGCGGTTGACTGTGAAGGTGTCATCATTCCAATAAATCTAAAATCTGAATTCGTTGTTGTTCTGTCTGTGGGCAAAGCAATGGTCTTCATGTGTGAGTTTAGCATAGCTTTCATGTGTGAAACAATCAAGTTTGCAGAGGTGCAGTTTGGATGAAACTCAGAATGAGCGTCGATATAATAACTGGATAAAATTTTTCAAATATATGTTCCACTGACTTGTCGTCATCTATTTTCTAAAAGTGGTCAAAGGTACACTGAGGACTTCTGAGTATGAAGTATGATTCTGAAAATGACCTAGCTACTGCTCATTTCTAGTTTCTCTGTCAATGAAGTAATGCTGAGGCAGGCAACCCAAAGTCCCCTGCTACTATAACTCGTCATGCTCTGCTCACTTAAACTGCATGCCTGCTGCAACACTCCTTCCCCTTAAAACTACAGGTATGCTACTTGTTTTTACTGGCCGCTGATAATACAGCATTTCATAAGCCCGACCTCAACCCCGGCATCCACCTATAGGCTGTGTAGTTTACATTCCTCGAGGGAGGAAGCGATTATAATCGCCCCCCATTCCTCGCTGTGCTGATCTTACTGTTCCTTGTGGGGAGTGATGAGGAGAGCGCCTATATGCCAAACAATAATGCTGTACATATTCTACATTTACATAATAATTTATTCCAAATGAGTTGCCTGACTGAATGAAATAAGTTCCTGCATCACAGTGAACAGTTTTGAGTTGAACAGAAATATATGAGCATGTGTCTTTTTTTTGTTTTATGCTCTTTTATTCTTTTTACATGTCTTTTTAAACTTCATTATATAAAACATCTTGTTTTGCCTGTGTATGAAATGTCATATATAAATTAACTTGCCTTGCCTTGCCCTGCCCTGGCGCAGAGATTCATGTCAAAAAAATATTGGTTAAACATTATAGGGGAAGAAGCAAAAAGTACTTCTGCAGCTGCCAGTTAGTAACTAGCTGGTTAAGATAGAGGAACATACAGCAATTCATTTGCCAGATACCTCCCCTTAGTAGCTGGTGGAGACTGAAAGAGAAAGACTTGAGTTGAGCCAAATGATCCTGATTGAGCCTTTATGATGAGATCTTTAGTGGCCCGATCGAGTTCTGTTTCCAAAATGTGAATTTCTGAGTTTGCCAGTTTAAGAAAAAAACATACTAGGTAGGCCTACCACAAACAAAAATGCCCCCAATTTGAACCCAGTTGAAAACTTCTGTTGTATGTCATCACCCTCTATCTCCCCACATTGCTGACATCTCATTATTCTATCAGATAAAGGAAAGATGACCAAACAGACCTCCTTTTGTTTTCTTCTTCTGTCATCTTGACTATGCAGGTCCATTTACTAGGTTCATGCCGATGCGGTATACATACAGATGCAAATTAGTCTGAGTGGGATGTGGAAGTGCTCCCTAATTAAATGTTGTCTGTACTCCCTAATCTATATGACCCTGACGAGGACCATTAAATTGACACAAGTTGGTTCTTTTTAATTGCCTTGCAGCTCATGTAACAGAGGCTTTTTCCTTTCAGTTTTTTCATGCAAGACTGCATGAGATTATTTTTTGGATCACTGCACTCCTTTGTGACCCAGGCAGCACTTTATTCCTCTCTGCTTTTAATATCTAAAGTCATATCCCATTTGCCCAAGGCACAGATTGAGATATATTGACTCCCATGTTAAAAAAACAACCACAAACAAATATACATAGTTTATTCCTTTATTCGGTTACAAAAGCATGATGACTTCCTTCCAGGACACTTTGGTTAGAAAAAAAAGTTTATTTCTCAAAAGTTGGATTCCTAATAGTTGAATTCTTTTACATTTTTTAAAACTGTGAACCCATTTATTGACCATCGTTTTAATTTGAAAACTCAGTATCACCCTTTCCATTGTTTAAAAAAACAACAATAAAGATGAACAATCTGGTGATTAGATTCCAGTAGTAAAATACTGTGAAAAAGGAAAGCGACAAAGAAATATTCAAATGGTGTTAAATTTCAAGCACTTAAAAAACACCAACAGGAAGTCCTTTTTGAAATTGCAACAAAATAAAATGATATTAACCCAAAACTGGCTTTAAACAACATTAGCTTCTACGGTTTATTCAACATCAGTGTGTGTGTTTCATTTTTTACACTCCTCAAAGTGTATAACACTTCCCCGGCACACCAACTCTCCTTTATAATACAAACATTGAGTGTCTTTTTTTTTTTTTTTTACAAATCTGTAATGGCATATAAAACATCTTTCCAAAGGTAAAGCCTCCACTGAAGAGTGCTGTGCTGTGTCCTAATTAATACAACATCAGCAAAAGAAGACGCATAGATGAGGGAAGAAAGGAAAAGTACTCACGCAGTAGGTAACTAATTCAAGTACACTGAGGCATGATTGGGAGAACAAACATTTTCACTGGGGAAGAGAAAAGCCTTTTATATACATAATAGGTGGAGATATGTATGATTTCGGTAAACTCTGACTGCCCATTTTTCTTGCTTGTATGACGATGTAGAGAAAGAGAGAGGTCATACATTAGATTTGGTACCATATTTTTTTAAAGCAGAAAATCAGAGGAGAAGAAAAAATAATACAAGACTATCTGTGGAAGCAAGAGGATGAGTGCTGCCTTTGTACAGGCGCTTGGCCTCTGCTGTGAAACGAGAGGTCAGCTGGAGTGTGTGGTACATGTAAAGCTGACCTCTGGCATCCCACAGCAGCGAGAATCCCATTTCGAGCCACAACCTTCCAGTCACCTTAAAGTAAAATCACACCTTTGGACACTGTTGGACTCTTAGATATCAACCATGTGTGACGATGATGATGTTCAGTGCATGTCAGGACTTTATGTGGTGATGAATTACTGGAATTTGCCATTTTGATTAACCCACTTTTCCCTTCAACTTGCTTCACCTGCTTAGTCTTAACTTGATGGTTTCCTATATTTTCTTGAATGATTTCTGGTAATCCAGATAGCTGAACTAGTTGTTCTCTGCAGTGGAATAGTGTTGTGGGTGGAAAGCTAAAGTGATGGATAGGTAAGACGAAACAATGTTCGTGTTGGAAGACGGCACAGAATGTACCCTTTAGCTTCTGGCTGTGAAAAACTGTTATTGGTTTCTCTTTTGCTTTGACAATTTTCCCAGGTAAGACTGAGAGTTTAAAGGCTGGTGACATTCTATATTTCTCATATTGTCAACAAATCTAATAAAAAGACCAAAACTAACAATTAACTGATCTTACAAAACAAGTATTGCTTGTGCAGTCAAAGCCTGATATACTGTAACTTATTCTCTTCCATCTATTAACTAAAACATATCAGTGAGCCACATTGTTGCTCTGGATATTTCACTACCATGAACAACACTGTAGTTTATTTTGAGTAAATCCCACACCATCAACCTGCAGTGTATAGTGCACAAAATGTGTAATCTGCTGCTGAAAATAGTCCCCAACCAATGCACTATTTACCACAAAAAATTACAATTTCTAGCTCTTTTAGTAAAATACTGAACATATTTTAACAATGAAACTATATATCTAAATATATATATTTAAATTAAATATGTATGTCTTCAGTAGGAATCAAGGGGTGTTTTGGGGCTAAGTGTCACAAACGGAGTATTAAAGCCACTCAAAACACTGCATATCTATCATGCAATGCATTACAGTCAAAGTTTAAATCCAGAAAAAGTTGAGATTATCAGAACTATTTGACTGTGGTTTGATCAAATTTGATTGGTGTACAACAGCAGCAAACAACCCTACAACTGTCATCACATTTTGTGTCAAATATTGCTAAATCCTCACTTCTTCACAGAATGAACCAAGGCCCGCCCACAAAAGAAAAGTGAGAGGAGCACAGACAAGACCAAAAATACTGAAATATTTAATCAGAAATAAGCAAAACTGTTTGAAATTTAGCAGAAACTGATGTGTTCTGATTGAGAAAATAGGTTTTTAGGGCCTCTGAGGGATGATCCATCACATTGTTGTCATGTCCATTATAGGATTTGTTGACAATAAAAAAAAATATAATCATGCCAGCCTTATTTTTCTTCTGTACTTGATTCTATAGCACAGCATGAGCTAAAGTTTGTTATCTGCTCTTCTGTTGGTCAGACACACAGGAATATAAAATACACCACTACCGATAAAATGGGCCAGGAAATGCAAAGTGCATCACCGATAGTAATTTTGTGTTAACAGTATTTCCATTTTTAAGGTGGAATTTTACTTTAAGGCCCTAAATGGCAAACCCAGGCTGTCCGGCCCTTGTCATCTCTGCCCTCTACTGTCCGGGGCCTGCCACTCTGATTTCTGTTTACTTGACGTGATCTGAAAGGGAGAACTCTACAGCCGAGCAGTGCGGTGACCACCGTAACCTTGACTTCCAGTGAACACAGCTAATAGTGACTGTGAATCTGTCAGTCACACCAAGTGCTCCAACCCCGCCTACTTCCTGAGCTAGCTAGCAACAGCAAGAGGAGACCAACTTTACTTTTATAGGCCACGCACAATCTGCAGGGGATATGCCACTCTCAATAAATTGAGAGCGAATAGCTGCGCTGCCCATTTCATTAAAACTGAACAAAGCTGAAAATACATCACAGGAGTAAGCAAATAATGCAGCAACAGCTCTGACAATAGTTTGAGGAATATTTACTCCAGATTATATCTGAGTTTGTCAATCTTTGCTCTTTAACGTGCTATGAATGTCACAACAGTAGAATACAGTGTAAGGTCACTCAGTACTGTACATAATGTGTCAGTGTGTTTTCTCAATTATATAACTCTTCTCACACAAGTCAAAGTGAGCATTTCTGAATCTGCACCCTGACTGTTTTTGTGATCATTAAATACTAAAACTCTCTATCTGTTGGCCAAACAAATGACCCAGTAGCAACAAGTGTATAGTGTGTGTGTGTGTTTGCATTAGTGAGAATGGTCATATGGCACAAAGACAAGGCATGATGTGTTAAATGAGGTGTAGCAGCAATGCATGGTTGTTGTAGCCTGGTCAACAGCTGATTTAAACAGCATTAACCTTCAGCCGAGTGTAAATCAAATCAAACTACTTCTGACAAAGCTCTTTGTGCTATTACAACAGCGTAAACCATATACTATATCATAAAATCTGGCTATGCTACACAGAGCACTTTGTCCTTCCAAAATGGCGTGTAAATGTGTGAGTGAAAGAGAGCAGGAATGTCTCAAAACAATATCAATTCATCGTAGCAGTCACAAGTTTTTTTCCTCCTCTGCCATGTCTGTGCAAAGACACGTTCCATCAGCAATCAGAAAGCATCTAGGTAGTACAAGGTCAGCAGTGGAGGTGAAGATATTGCACACGCAGACTAACGTCAACAGCTCCATTGAAATGGCACAGCGCAGGCGTCACACTGAAGAATAAGGTTCTTTTTTCCCCACATAAATGAACGCTGTAAAAAATTCAAAAACACGCCCCGTTGACGGCTTCTTTATTGCAGCACATTTCCCTTTTTCAATATCTCTTTTTCAAACATCCATTTATTTAAAAAAAACGTTGCGAGTCTCTGTTCGTAGTTTGCAAGGAGCGGTTCGAGAGTGCATTTTGGCAGTAAGTTAATTTCAAGTCGGGCGCGTCGACAGCCAGGAGAAGATGGGTCAAACCAGACAGCCATGATTTTTGAGGTCATTAGAGTCTTGTGCTCTTCTTCTGCCCCACCCTGCCTATTCCTCGCCGCCAGCACAGTCACGTGATAATCACATGCCAGAGGCACCCAGTCCCATGCTGGCGGTGTGGCTCATACAGGGCAGCGTCTGAACGGTCTTGGGGAAGTCGTGGGTGAGGATTCTTCCGTTCTCTCCGCCGCTCCCGTTGCCACTCATTCTGGTCAGGGTGGAGCAGCGCATGGCGTCATTGATGGATTGCTGTCAGAAACAAACAAACAGATTGCAGTTAGTCTACACGCCAGATTTCAGTCTCATACACATGCATGCATTATATCCTAATCAAAACAGAGAAAGCTTATGCAACAGTTAGAGCTAGCAATACACAGAATTATGTATTTTAAAACGTCTTTCAGCTATAGAAAAATAAAAATACTTCTGCAGAGTGTTATGTAACTTCTCCAGTCTTTATTACATGAATATATGCGTATAAGCAGCTGTTTATGTCACTATCTCAATGTGGTGCTGGCGCGCCAAGAAATTCAAGGGCAGAATGAGCTGTTAAGAGTCCTAGGGTGCTGGTTTTCACCCTCTTTATCTGGGCCTGAGTGATATTCGCGGGTGGTAAACCGTGGTGCTGGCCGATGTGCATCAAGGTCCTAATTTGTAACAGGAGGAGCAGAGCGAAGAGTGGGCAGTAAGACGGGAGCTGAGGCTTCACTCATTGGTTTAATAGCTCCATTCTCCAGTCTAGCGCAATAAAAGCCACTGGGCTCGAAAGCCGACCTAATGATGTGTGATGCGTGTGTGTGTGTGTGTGTGTGTTTCTATGGTATCTGCCCACATCCCCTATTCTATAGCTGATTAAATTGGGCAAAGCGAGTGCGATCTGGAGCAACCGGTGAGTGCTGCATGGGGATTGGAGATTTAAACCGGCCTCTAATTGGAACGCTGTTGTTGTTTCTTTCAAGCCAAACAGCATAAAGGCACCGCTGACTAATAGGCTCCTCACCAATCTCATCAGCATACTGATCAGGTGCTTCTTTGTGGGCTGATTAAAATATAAGAGATTCATGTAGAAGATCACTCCTTTTCTTGGCGCTGCTTTGCCTGCTGTTTACATGAAGAGTATATCAGCTAGGGGCTTTGATGTTGGAAGAATGAATCAAAGGTTGTCTGTTGTAAATTGATCCATGAAGCAGATGACCAACACATATCGCCGCTGCTGGAGGAGAAACCTCACATCTCCCAATAAATAGTCTTATAGGCAACAAGTCCTTAGGTTTCAGATTTCTCAACATACAACAATTTGAGTTAGACTGTTCTAGGTTAAAGCAGTGATGGAGCACATGTTAGCCGCACCAGGCCTGCCTTATGGTATACATATAAAGGATGTTCACCACAATGGGCCCTGCATTTGCGAGACAGTCAGCAAACAAAGAAGAGGGAGCAGGGGAGAGATTTGCTCACAGCGACAGAAGTAGAGAGATGTACCACTGTGATTTAAATTGCCTTTATACCTGTACTGCAAAGTGAAATTATTGTAATGAGTCTAGTAATGGGATTGAACCTTATGACAGAAAGGAACATTTCTGTAAGCTGAAAAGTAAAGTGTAATGTGTACTTAATTACTAGACAAATTTTAGATTCTACATTATTCACCATTAAAAGGAACTGATATAGAAATGATACATTAATATCAACATACAGTCAATATGATACAGAATAAAAGGCTGAGTGTGCTTATAGTGACATATAAAGTAACTTTAAAGCCGAACTAACAACCATGTGATGCTAACACTGGGAAAATGATTGTTTTGTTACCATATAAGCTAGTGTGCCAAAAATATAAACCTTCGAATATGAAGAAACAGGCATAAGGACAATTTTAAAATCAAGTGGTTCAACAACACTGCAGGAGATCAGTGACGTAAAGACTGAGCGGCAGAGGTAGAGAGAGGTACAGGAGAGCGTTTGCACTGCGGTGGAAGCCGTGAGAGGCCCTACTGTGATCACGGTTAGATGGGCGGGGGGTGAGGAGGCAGATGTCATCAGCAGCATCATCATCATCATCATCATCATCATCATCATCATGGCTTGATCACAGCGTTTCCTACCCCGTGGCTGTGCTCTGCCCTTATATCTTAACAGTGTTGTTGGCGTACAGGCCGTAGCTCTGCAGCTCTGTGTAGGGGGCGCTAGCACCACTGTCTAAGGCTGAGCAGTGAAAGGCCTGAGCGGCTGAAGCGGCAGCAGCTCGCGCGGTGGACACCTTCATTCGGCGCGACTCGGTCCTGGACTTGTAGCAGAACTCCACCAGCGCCACCAGCATGGCCAGGCCCAGGCCGCCGATCAGGATGTAGAAGACTCCTGCCACATTGCTGAGGCTCAGAGCGCTCGTCTTGTCCTGGGGGGAGGGAGGAAGGAAGGGGGCAGAGCCAAGGGGTGAGGAGCGGTAGTGGCAACAAAACAGAGTCTACAGCTTTACATACATATAAGCAAAAACTAAAGACAGACACACACGGAATCACACACGTATTTATAGACAAACATTAGTATCACAAACAAGTCATAAAGGCAAGGACTTAAATGCATATAGCAAGATTACACACAAATATACACACACTCAAACCCATACACACTTAAAAATACACACACCCATACACACACCCACACACACACGCACACAGACCCATAAAGTATACAGATGAGCCTGACTAATTAGGCACACAAAGCGACAGTACAGTCATGTAAAGTACATGTAGAGTAGAAGACAAGAAGACCAGACACACACATAACTCCACACAAAACCAAACATTAACAATAAAACATATTTTAGAGGCCTGTCTCACAAAGTAGGATTTGATATGTTAGCTGGATAACTTTGGATCTAACTCTGCCTTTTCAGTTTCATAAAAATAACTAGCAACTCCGATACCGACCAAACCTGGATGTTTTTCTCCAGGCTTATGATTGAAAACTATCAAGGTATCCAAGTAGGGACAAAATACTGCAGTCACATTAAAATGACAGGTACCAGCACAGAGGCACTCTGATATAATGGCTTTGCTTTATTACTCTTAAGATAATTTATCATATCAGAGATATATTAAAGATATGTAGTACAGTCACAGTCCCTCTCTAGGAAGTGCAATGGTAGGACTCAAAGGCAGTTTAAAGGTACGTTAGTAGTACGTTAATAGTGTAACCTGTCAGATGGTTCAGTACATTTATGACGGCACAGCCTGATACCCACTGCAGGGCCTAATGAGTGGCCAAAACATAATTTAACATGAACAACATGCTTCTATTGGAATGCTCACTCAACTTCTGGCACATTTTACCAGTGTATTGATAAAAAAATATATCGTAAATCATTTGTAGTACAGTTAGTGTTCCTTTCTGGCCAAAAACCAGGGCTTCTCGCAAAACAGTAAATACAGTGGGTGGTTGGAAAAGTCATTAATAAAATCTACTTTTGCATATTATTACATTAAAATTCTTTCAGTGGCTGGTTAGATGTAGACTATTGGACTCATATTCCATCACTGCAGGGACAGAGAATATGAAACGACTTCATGATGACGCTGTCATCTGAATAAGACGTATTCTGACTGGGCCCTAATGACGAGCAGTGATCAGACATTTTAATTTAAAAAAGGAAGAATGTCTGCACACTGAAAATTAGCTCCCAGTGATTTATTCAAGCTACATTTTGGGCTCAGGCCTTTATCAAGTCTTTTTTAATTTAACAAATCATACTCCTGCAGTGCCCCTCTCCATGCCAACAGAAGCAACATTAATGAAACATTAAATGCTGTTTTTTCTTTTAGTTTTTCATCCAGTATTTTTTGTCTTTAGAAGAGAAAAAGTCAGACCTATTAGTTTCCATACATATTCCAGACTACTTAGCATATTAAAATGTCATATTATGGAGGCTTATTTAATAACACTAATTAGGTGTATACTGTTGGCATTTTATTACTCTTTACCATATTTTTTATAGCTTTTTATATTCTAGTTGTGTCTTTATGTTATGTATATTTAACTTCACTTAAATTTACTCTCTGCTGCTCGGAAGTTAAATTCCCCAGCATGGATCAAAAGTTTAATCTATTCTCATATTAAGTTCAATGCTCTTAAACTGTAATACAGTTGACTGTTCGACACAACTGTGTTGAAGCTAGTTGGTTATCAGCTTTCTGAGACTGAGAGTTATCCAGAATCAACAGTGTTAGATTAGATTACTACAAGCAGATTCTAATTCAAAGATAGCCTGACTACACTGAATTTGCTTTGTGAGACAGGTCCCAGATAATAAAAAATGCATAATGATCTAGAATTTTTAGGACTTATTTAAGCAATTCTTAACATTTTACACAAAGCCTATATTAACCTTTAAGCTCAAAATACTCATAAACATGACCGTTTCCCAAAATTACATATTTGTGAGGAGTACAGGTAAAGTGCATAAACACCTCTCAACACATGCATTCATGCAGCAACAGCACAAACAAACTCTCTAGTTCAAAACTGCTCAATGATATGGGTCTCTATCACAGTGGGACCTACTCACATTTATAGACTGTAATGAAATTGGATCATTAAGACTTAAATCAGTCGACCTAAAGGGCTCTCCTGGAACAGTGGGGTCTAACGAGGATGTTGTTTCATGTAAATACCTTGAAGAGCTATAGTTCTGTTAGGATGGTTTGCACTTTATTGTGCCCCTATTTGTATTTGAGTTTACAGTTAACTCAGTATATCAGTGTGAATTACATTCAGGCATTTATTTATTCAATTCAATACTTTAACCCCAAGGGCAAGTTGGCATTTGAATACATTTAGTCTGTATTTTATCTTGATATGCCCTGTCATTTAGTAGTATTATGTCATTAAATATTGTTTTAATACCTGTGTCTCAAACTATGTGACATGGGGGGCTGAGAGTTTGCAACATTTTTACTCCAAACACAGACAACACCAGATGATTTTAAAGACTGTGGCTGAATTTATGTTCATCCCCAGGAACTGTATTCACAAAGCTTCCAAGAGTTGGTCCTAGTGGTCGAACGCTTTAGAATAAACGTGTGTGTGTGTGTGTGTGTGTCAAAACTTTCTAACCTAAAAATACAATTAAAATCAACCAAAGAAAAAGGCTACTAACAAAGTGTCTTTGCCCTTGACTTCAAAGTAATGAGTTTTTTAGGCTGAGGAGAAAATTGTTGCAAATATAAAACATCACATATTCAGGTTGTGACTACCGCTCAGACGTGAAAAGAAAAGCTTATTTGCTTCTTGCTGAGAGTTAGATGAGAACATCTTTAACACTGTTGTCCCTAAATGGTAAACATGAAGCTAGTGCTAGTAGCCAATTAGCTTAGGTTAGCATAAAGACGAGGAACAAAGGGAAAACAGTTTAAACATTATACCTTGTTTTTTTAATATGTACAAGTACTGAATTGTACAAATAAGACGTTGTGGTATTTATGTTCTGCAATATTATGTTGGCCACTTTGGTTGCTTTTTATACTTTGGTTTTTGTACAGATTAAATACACTTTGAGACAGAGCATGCTACTATACCAGTTTCAATGTTTTGAGTCTTTATGCTATGCTAAGCTAAGCTATGCTGCTGGCACTAGTTAGCATGCAAGAATAAGAGAGGTGTCAATATTCTCATTTAACTTTTTTAAAGAAAGAGAATATGCATTTTTTCTAATTATGTCTGAATATTCCTTTAAAATTAAATCATGTCCCTTAACACTTATCACAAAGTTCCTATAATATTTAGTAAAGAGGCATTTAAAATTTGACTTAAATATAGACTTATGTAGCTGTACTGCAAAGATGTTCATGACCGACCCAGTAACAGTGTATTCTAAATATCTCCTTAAATGAGACTACTTGGTGTGAGTCTTTTGCTAAGTTTGGAGCTTATAATATCCCCTGACACTTAGCCCGCCATTGCACATGGTTTGACCATCCTGATCTAAAGTATCAAAATATGAGCAAAAGAAAAGAAAAGAAAAAAATCATGATAGCTGACATTTCAAATAGCAAAAGCTTTTCTGTCAGGAAGACTTCTTGAAACAGTGGATATAACATAAAGTGCAAATGCATGCAAGCACAGTGGCATTGGTGTGACTCGGGGGTTGATCTAGTAGATTGACAGGGTTTGCATCCATACATGCACATTCTACAGTGAGAGACTTGGGGCAGGATTATTGTAGGGACCAGAATGCAAAGGTTACGCCTTAACATGTTCGAAGAGTTCAGCAAAGTCCGACAGCCTAATGTCATCATCTGTCTCCCTCATGTCCTTCTGTGTTCCTTTTTCCTACTCTTTCTCCTTGGGAAGTTGATGCATTCTAACAAATAGCTTTCAGAGTGATTCATATTCAATCTGTAGTACAAACTCAAGGTTATCATCACACTTGATCTGTGTGTATGCGTCTGTATGTATGCATCAGTGTGTGTGTGTGTGTGTGTGTGTGTGTGTGTGTGTGTGTGTGTGTGTGTGTGTGTGTGTGTGTGGGGGAGGTTTGGATAATCTATTTCAAGAGGATTTATCCGATCTAGATGATAACTGGAGTCTCTATATGTATAACAAACCATTGTAACAATCCTAACTAATCCACCACACAATATTTATATAATGAACATTAAATCTCTGACAACACAAACTCATCAGTGGGAACAAATAGACACCAGAGTACCACCAGAGTACTGGCACGAATATAAGACAATATTTCTTATAGAAGTTTAAAAAGCAAAGACTAAACTTTTTTTTTTCTTTGAATATTGTAACGGCCCGTGTGTTACAGGATTGTTACTTTAAGAGTAAACTACTATAAGCTAGTTTGTTTAACTTATCCCTTGTAACATATCTGCTAACAATCAAGCCAGAAAGTCTCCATTTAAAAGTGAGACTAGAAAGAAACAAAAAAACACATTTGTCCTATTGCCTATCAAAGGTTGGAGCCAGACAGTAAAAACAATATAACAATTTTGAATTATTTCATATCGATTAAAGCTGAGTCATTTGTTCAAACTATTTGTTTTAGTAGATTGATGCATTGACTTTCCATAATTTTCAATGGATGAATCAATTAACCACAAACTGTAGTAACTGTAGTAATTTATTATAAAATGTGTTAAACATAGTGATTCTGCCTAAATTGTTACATTGTTTAAAGGGTCTCAAGTTTAAAAGTGTTCTTGTGTGTTGCAAAATGGGAGATTGTCTTATGTTCGGGTCAATACAGTAGTTCTATTGCTCAGTGTAGAGGCTGAGGACTGGACTTGGGGCTGGTCTAGGATCAGGGCAGGGTTGTGCTGGGAGGTGCTGTGAGGTGACAGGATTGGGTTGGAGACTAACCTTTCTTCCGGAGTCCTTGCTGCCACACTCCCCTTTATCGTACCACCATTTGTTTTTCAGTTTGTCTAAGACGGCTTGCTCATTGAGTTTCAACACCGCTAGGTTTACTGGGATTCTTCCAACCATAAGAAAATAACATAAATAACATATTATACATATATATGTTATTTTATGTTATTCATTCAGAGACATAGAGCAGCAAATAAATACACACGTTAATGCTTGAGCTTGTTTATCGGTCAAAAAAATAAAATAAAAAACTCATCACACACACACACACACACACACACACACACACACACACACACACACACACACACACATATATATAGCATAAACATCATTAGAAACATCAGAATCAAAGTGATATGCATTAATACTCCATCTAGCTTGGTTGGCTTGCTCCCTAGGGCAGTAGATGTGTATTACTATATCACTTTGGGTAACCGGCACGCTGCTTACCCTCACTTATGCAACACGAATGTCTCAATTGTATCTTTTGTCAAAAGTAAATGGCCAATGTTAACAGCAAAAACTGAACAAATTCCAAAGCCACTTATGAATGTCTGCAATCTTAAAATATAATTGAGCATGAGGAGGGACAGCTGGTTTAATTACTGCACATTGATCAATTTTTAATCATCGTTGTTCCTTTTGTTTAAGCAGGGGAGCTGATATAAAAATGTACACCTCTATGGTGTTCAAATTCAGCCACTGCAGGCCAAATAATCACCACCGCTGGCACTTTTCCTTTGCCCTTTGCCACACCACAGAGAGATTAAGTGCTGCTAGAGTGGTACTGCAGCGTGGGCCTGCCGGTTACCCCCCTCCCCACACACCCCCCCACTCCATGTGGTGGTGGGTTACCCGCAGGGTTTATCAAACTGGCTCTGACCTTGGAGTCCCCGCCCCCGCTGCCGCACTCTCCCTTGTCGTACCACCACTTGTTTTTCAATTTGTCCAAGAGGCCCTGCTCGTTCAGTTTTAACACTGCCAGGTTTACTGGGTTTCTTGAAAATAATATAAAATGATAGCCATTAGGAGACACTCTATGGGACAGATATAAAGAGATTGCTCGCATGGTGGTGGTGATTATGACAACATTGACTTGTGATTAGAAACTCCTGCATATAGCTACTGATATGAAGCAGGAGTACTGGCTTTAGATGCACATGTTAGTTGAATATCTGCAATGAGCTAAAATGCAGTGCCCATACAGTAGCAGAGTCAGGTTTTACCAAGCAGGGGCCTCAGAAGGAGGCAGAGCAGACACTATAAATGGAGATGCCTTGGATACGGAAGTCTGTCTACAGATGGTAATTTCCTTTCAGTAGCACCAGCATACAGATTGCTATGGTAACTAACCTATCAATATTCAACCCATAACGGCATCCTGGTGAATAGAAGCCTGTGTTGATTAATTTACAACTATCAGCACAGACAAATGCAGGCAGAGGCTATGAATGTTTTAATCAGTTTCACTTCCACAACAAGTTTATTTCTTAAATAGGCTGAAAGTAAACCGTGCAACCAACTATAGGATGGAGTCCTGAACATGAATCTATATGAGCCACCTCATCCAAAACATCTCCCCAAGGTTTGCTCTCTCTCTCTGGTGAGTGTGTGTGTGTGTATTTCCTATAGCTGAATGGTCGAGAACAAAGACTCTCTCCGTCCACAAATCACAGAAAGGCAGAATCTGCAATCAGAATTGGCATAAAAGAAGTAAAGATTACAGCCTTTGCCAGATTGTCCCTCAAATCAGTGTCAATTCTTCTGCGCAGCAACAATTTAGTTATGTGATATTCTGCCTTTCTCACCAGCAGATGCAAGAGAGTCTTTATCCCCAGCCTTGAGTTGACAACACAGCTGTAGGGAACACAGATATCGTGAGAGCTGGTAAAACCTCTGAATTCTTTCTCAGCCCAGTGGACTCAAGACAGAAAGAAAGAAGTCAAGTCAAAGAAGTGTGTGGACATGGATGATCCGGAGACCTGCAGGTCATTGGTTAGTTTGGTCAGTCAGTTTGTTAGGTGGGATGGGAAAAATAGTCAGGCAGGCATGGGGGTGGCTGGACGTCATACATGTAAGAATGGAATCAGGGGGCACAGAATATATACAGAACATTTCACAAACTGATCACAAAGTGTAGCTTGAAGACAGGCAGTCAGCACATCCTGTAGGAGTAAGAGTAATGGCATTTTTCTATCTTTTTTCAAATTGCTACTTTCAATCAGACCTGCACTGCAACATGAATATTAGAATTTATATATACATTCATTTATCCAGCAGGGATATGCAGATCGGTTGGACTGGTATGAGCTCTCATACTGAGCTTAATAAGCAGATCTGTATCACGTCAAATACTAAAACATTTTCTGTTCTGCTCTGTTCATTTGCAGCAGTGAGCTAATTTTGATGCATTAAGCTACTTCTGTAGCTCTCCACTTGCATTTTAATGTGAAGACAGTGGTAAGCTTTTACTGTGAACTTACAAGTGTTGACAGTGTCATTCCCTGTTAGCTAATGTAACCACAAATGTCAATGTTTTAACAGATATATTTTTCTTAAAGTACATTTCCTCCACTTCTGTACACATCACCTGTAATCTTATACGAGAACTGGGTGTGTAGAAAAGATGAACGTGATGGTTCGTAAAACTCGTGCATCCATGATATTTAGTAATTAATGGATAAACGATGCACTGCAGGTATGATTGAACTCAACTCTTTAAGTTCATTGGACATTGACTCATGTCTGATTCCAGGTGAGCAGCTCAGTTAGTCACTTTATACTTAAATATGCTTAAAAATATATGAATCATTCAAAATGTCCATCTTTTAATGTAACACTACCAGTCGCAAATGTCCGTTATGTGTTAATGAAACTCAGTATCAGACGTGTGAATGGCCAGAGTAGCAGCGTGAAAATAACATTACTCGACTCATAATTAAGACAAAGAGAGAGAGATGATGGGGCATCCTCAGCAGTTCAACCCTGCATCCAATTGTACATTGTAGGTTTGGACCAATCTGACTTTATGACTTGGGAGCAGATTATTTTTTCACCAGTTTTTTTTGTACAGTACTTACTGTATGAAATGTAATTTGTATGGAATTTCAATGGAGCCTCTGAGTAAGACATAGGCAACATTTCTACTCAGCGTATTCTGACCTTTGGCTGTCAACCAAGGTGGAACCCCGAATGAATCCTCAGTGAGTTTGAATGAAATCTCCCCATATGGCTCCTTTCATTAAAATGAATGAGGCCTATTAGAGATAGATTAAAAGCTTCAGATGCCACCAGCTCCTGCGCTCTCTCTGTAGTTGCAGGAGAAATATGAATGAGAAGTTAAGGTGCTAATGTAATGTGAAAAGACAGCTGCTCCTCTTGGACATCGATGGCAGAAAAGTACATCCAGTATGAATTATCATACATTATGTCAATTATCACATTGAATGTGGCAAATTTAAATTCATTCTCTACTGACTTCACATTCAAGGTGTGAGCCCTGGCATAAGTGGAAAGTGGCCATTTGGGTTTGTTCCTTTAAGCTGTAATCCTGCTTCAAGGGCCCTTTTGGCACATTTACATTTTGTATGTGTGTTTCTGTGTGTTTAAAAGGATGCTTCAGTTTTCAAAGCTGACTGCGTGAGGCCTGCCACCACAAACGCTCATGAAGCAGGTTTCGAATGTAATTAGAGGCTAGCAGGAAGACAAGTGTCGCTTAAAGAGGATGGGAAATTTCATAGTCCTACTTTACACTTCTGCTAGTGCTCACAAGTCAGCTATGAATAGGTTTGCTGCATACATACATATGCAGACACAAACAAACAAAGGTGTCCTTCAGAGGTGAAAATGGGGATGATAAAGTTGTAAATGTCTTTGTGACAGTGTGAAAAGTATGAATAAAAGAAGAAAAAAGTTTAAAGAAATACTGTAAAAAGTAATGCCATGCCTTCTAGGTCAGATAAGAATGCTTTCATAGTATATAGAACAGAACAATAATACTGACATGTTGTGTGACATAATGAAAGGATGCATAAATAAATTGAAATGCATGAAATGCAAACTTAGAAACTAGAGAAATCCAAGTTCATGTATGTGTTCATACTAGGCTGGGCGATAAATCGATTTTATCGATTAATTTGAATTCGTAGTTAAACACGATTTAGTTTTAGTTAAAATCGGTTTTCTCTTGAACTTCCACAACACCGGCGCTCCCTTTGGGCTCCTGTAGGTCAGAGTGCGCTAACCCCTCCCCCCACCTGTCCACAGCTAAACACAACAAGGCAGCAAGCGAGGATGAGCTCGTCCCCAAAAAAGGCACAGTGTCGTCGGTTGTTTGGAACTGGTTTGGTTTTGTGGCGTCCAACAGCGAACAAACCACGACCCACTGCAAAGTTTGTTTGAAAGCTGTTGCAACCAAAGGTAGCAGTACGACGAATTTATTCCAGCACCTCAAGCAGAGGCATGCAGCCGAGTGGGAGAAATGTTGCTCTCTGCGAGATATACAGGACCGCAGCCCACAAACACCCCCTAAAAAACAGTCTACAAAAAAATCTAATTAATTAATTAAAATCGTAAATCGGGTTTAGTGTGAAAAAAGAGATTTTATTTTTAAGCCATATCGCCCAGCCCTAGTTCATACATGAACAAATGCTGCAAGAACTGAGCTCAATTGACAAAATTCAACAGGTGACATGTGATGCTCATGCACAAGCTCCAATAAAAGCACTTGGAGGCTTTTATCCAGCCACGCCACAGTGGCAGGGATTTACCTGAGAGGAGAGCCCTTGGGTGTGGCGATGCCATAACCTTTAGAGTCCAGGTTTCCTCCCACCTTCATAGTATCGCACGGTTTCCTCTGCTCTATGTACTCGTTCATTGTGGACTCCAGCAGGTAGGCATACTTGCCCTTGGATTTCCTGACTCTCATTACGCCCTCGTCTGTGGTCTTGACAAACACGGACGGGTCAGCCGCCTTCATGTAGGACCACATCTTCTCAAACACAGCGATCTTAGACCTCTGACAGCCAGAATTGTTAAGGAGAGACAGTGTCAGTGTGAATACTTATCTTTATCTTGTATGATTCTGTGTTGAGGTTAATATCCTTCAACTGTTCATGAAATTAAACCGTGTTTTCATGCTATTTATCGTCAATCATCAATAACCGTTTAATGTATTTGTATTCTGCAGTTACCTCGCCGTATATTTGTTTTCATTTTTCCCAGGTGGTTTCAACGTAAGGGGATTCATAGAAAATGATGCATACATGTAATCCAGCATTTAATTTTCTCACCCTGAAGAATTCTTTGGTGGAGCCGGCATCCAGTGTTCCATAGGCAATCTCCGTCTGCTTGGCCAAATCCTCAGCACTCTCTATAGGAGACACCATCCTCTCCACTGTCAGGAAGGCAGCCAAGTTGGCAGTATACGATGAGATAATGATGAGGGTGAAGAACCACCAGACGCCTCCAACAATACGTCCAGAAAGAGAGCTGAAATTACAGGACAGGATATTTGCTTGGTCAAATATATAAAAGACACAATATGTTTACATGTTCATGTATCTTCAATTCATGACTGTTGATTCCAAGTTTCATTCTTACAAACAGAATCAATTATATGTTCATGTAGTGACTTTTTCTTCCTGGCCAACTTTGCACACAATCAAGAAAAGCAATCTACAAAACTTGTGATGTTCACACCATCCAAATGACCTACATTGCATCACACTTCCTCTGCACTCACACACTCTTCGTTCCACCATGCTCGGAGAGCTTAGCCCAATGTGCTAAAGAAAGATAACCAGTTCCACAAAGGCCCACTCAGCTTCCTGCCTGCCAAATTAATCTCACTTTAAGAAAGTTGCCAATATGTTTCATGGAACCACGCACATTAATTGTTGGGGATTAATAAGCAGAGAACACTTAGCCACAGCTCTAATTGCACTTTAAAAAAAAACAAAAAAAAACCCCAACAACAACTGGATGATTTGTGAGCAAAATCCCTTGAGTCAAATCCCTGTATTTCTCTCTGCGTCTCTCTTCACCTCAAGAGAAGCCAGCTTGAACAGCAACAGCAGAAATCATGTTGCGTTACATATCGGGTCCCCGACAAGCGCGAAGGCACAGAGCGGCGGAGCTTACGCAATGAAAATGACACAAATCTGAAACAAAAAAGGCTTTCATGATTCACCTTTGTGCCGCCAAGCCAAATGGAGCGTGAACATGAAGGCGAGATTAAGTACGAAAAAAAAAAAAAAAAAGGGAGAAGCTGAAACATAATCATTTAAGATGCTTTTCAGATGACGGGTGGATGATGAAAGAGCAGCCGGGGAGCGAGTGGAGAGCAAACACAGAATGGATGCTGAGCCTTTGAAAATCAGTTGGGAGAATGCAGAGCTGTCGGCAGGGTGTGTGTGTGTGTGTGTGTGTGTGTGTGTGTGTGTGTGTGTGTGTTTTGACTTGTTCACTGATCACTGTTCAAAGGGTTGTGGGTAAGGTTAAGCTTTTTCTGTGCAGTGAGAAAAGCAACATGCTTTTCTAAATACCTCAATGCATATTTAGTATTGCAGCAAACAATTCACAAGCAAGTGGTTGATTCTCCTGCGTTAAAACTCTCCATTTCAGCTCTGCAGTTACAGAACCAAAAGAAATTCCTCTCATACTCACAACGTCACAACATCTCAGACTCCAGACCTTCTTCAGGTAAATGTAATACTACATGCAAGAGTAACATTAAAAATCAACCAATCATGGGTCACCAGCAGCACCATCAAGGTAAATAAAACCCCTAAGTGAGCTCTTCAAATTGTAAACAAGAATAGTCATCATCCAACAGATTCATTTCATACAAGGAGTAATCAAATAGATACTGGGAATAGAGATCAAATATTGAACCAAATATGTGAATATCATCCAACTGAAATGTCAAAGGATGGATCAAGTGTATCAATGTCATACACATATTTTAATAGGCCTTGTGAAAATATCAAAAGTGGCTAAGTTAAATAATATTATGAAAATACCTCACTACTAGTAAAAGTTAAAAAGATGGTCAGTATTTTCTACAGATCTAACTGTTAAAACAAGAAGACAATAATCACATCAGCAGCATCTAACTGATTATTGATATATCTGCTGATTATGTCAATAACTATGTCAATCTCAACTGATTTATAGTTTTGTCTATAATACGTCAGAAAAAAATGAAAATGGTAGATGATAATTTCCCAAAGTCCATGGTGAGATTTTAAGATTGATGTTTGTACCAGTACCATATTTGGTAAGTATATATTTACACTAAATTTCTATGATACATGACAAAGAACAGCAGCAATCGCTCACATTTGTACACTTCAACATGCGGACAGGAGGAGGTGAGGATCAAACCGCCAATCGATCAATGGATGACCCTCTTAACCACCTGAGCCACAGCCCCCACCTTTTCAGTAGTAGATCAAATATGTAAATAAAAGTGAGCACAAGTGATTGACAGAGGACTTTCTGACTGCAAGAACTAACTCTCCAACTGTAATACCATACATTAATATTGTACTGTTTAAATTCTTTCTTAATTACTTCTCAGTCCTCTTGTTTAGTATTCTGTGAAAAGAAGAACAACTTCACAAAGAACTACCCAGAGATTGGGGAAAAGAGAGAAAGTCTGTTATGTTAGGTTGAAACAGCAATGCAAGAGAGAGAGAGAGAGAGAGAGAAATGGCAAAGATGAAAAGTAATCTGGATAGTACCACCAGAGGCTGACAAACTCCTTAGCTTTGACTGCTGCTGGCCTCCAGAGATGGCAGTAAACAGCTGTCCAATCCCTCTCCTTCAATCCCCCTTTTTTTTCTTGCCCTCGCTCTTTCTCTCTTCTTCGGCTTTCTTTTTCCTTTTCCCCTCCATCCAACCCTACGTCGCCGCTTGTCTCCCTGCCTGTCTCTTCATGCGCTGCGGGTGACAGGGGCTTGTTTTGGGCCAAGACAACAATGGCCTACACCTTGGCACTGACACTGACGCATTCAAGTATGCATGCACACATACACACACACACACACACAAACAGATACACACATGCATACTTTTCCTTCCCGAGGACAATTCCTAAGTGTGTGTGAGTTTGTTTGTGAAAGAGAACAACCGGGTCACCATTTGCTGTGTGTGAGTGTGTGTGTGTGTGTGTGTGTGTGTGTGTGTGTGAGAGAGAGAGAGATGTTTGTACGTGTGTGTGTGGGTGTGTGTTGGTTCTCCTGCAGCAGTCCTTCTCCCTAGTTGTGCAGAAGGACTGGCAAACACAGACCTGCTTGTCTCTGTTTGTTTCCTTTTGAACTTGTTTCCTTTGAGCCTCCTTTCTGCTCCTCATACATTATTTTACAGAAGCCAACCTCAGTGCCTCTGTAAAACATTAACTAAGCTGTCTTATTACAGTAAGGGGAATCTTTCAAGTAGCACTGTAATTTCATAGTCTTGTTAAGGCACTGATTAATCAATTATTCACTCTGCCTTTTTTTTATTGCTTTACAAAGAAAAGGAATGGTAATGGGAGCAGCAGCAGCACAAGCTCAACAGCAGTAGTATACACTACTATACCGGAATGCGATACAACTGTGTCATATCATTAAAGCTGAAATTATTTTTGATAATTAATATTAATAATTTTTGATGATTAAGTCATGTAACAAATAAATATACCAAGAAAATACCAGCTAAAGAAAATATATAAAATTATATATTAATATTAATTTGTGTTTATTTATTAACAATTAAAGATAAATCACTAGAGAGTTGTGTTCCACTGGTTGTCCTCAGGACATTACAGAAGATGATCAGTTTTGCAGCAACATTTCCCCAAGTAAATACCGGTATGTATTCTGTATTTATCCTTGTGTTTAGAGCATGAGGTGAGGAAGTATAGCTCTGTCTCTGCCTGTCTCTGTCACACTGGGAGAAGCATCTTAGTTTAGTTGTTTAGAGTTTTAGTTGTTTCCTTCCAATATGTCATAGTTTTGTTTTTGTTTTTTGATAATTTAGTTTAGTCTGATTGGGTTGGTGATGTGGTCCTGAGGCCCTGTCCAGACAATCCAACATTTCCCGGACCAGCTGGCTGAGGGGACTCTTCTCTGGCTTCAGCTCTTGGCAGGTTAGGGATTTGTCTGGGGGGGGTCACTTGATTTTAGGTGACTGTAAAATTGAATTGCTCTTCTTTCTATTTTTAATATGAGGGCGTATTGGCCGAGCTCTGCTCTACAGGCATTATTTGGTGTACTCTGTTGGACCTGCAGGATGTTCTTACAGAATTCTGGGTGGAAAGATTCTATTGAGACAATGAAAGAAAACATTCCTTCAGGTGTGTGTGTGTATGTGTGTATTTGATGGGTAGTTATGATAGACACCAAAACAAATTGGACCAGCTCTCTCTCTCTCTCAACTCTGTCAGATCCAGACCTTCATCCTTTGCTATATGATCTCCACCCACAGCTCCCTGAAAATCTGCTGTAGCACTAAACTCTCATTAGAATTCCCCTGGCTGGCCTCCTCTATTCGATATGGTAATTAGCGATGACTAATGACTTTAGCAAGTGTAAAAAATGAGCCAGTAATGGCCACATTACAATGGATTAGGAATTACAGAGGTTTAAATGAGAAAGAAAATGGTCTCTAATTATGGTGTGATTCTAAGACAAATCAGGGATGGAAAAGGAGTTTTCTGCTACACTGCTTTTTTGCTTCTTAAAAATGTAAAAATGAGTGAGACAGCTGTATGTTCTTAATGACTGGGCACAGCCACTCCTGATATGTCTGGACAGACAAGACTAGTTTTGTGCAAGTCAATAGAAAATACAAAATGAGAATGACAGAGGCTGGCAAAGTGGAGCCAGCAAGCAAAACGGCATGCACAGAAGCAGAAAAACCTACAGATTAGAGCAGATAAGAGAGGTGCATGCACACATTCACATATAGAGTCAGTGTTATAACAGATTCTTGAGTGTTAGTGAGAATGTGCTGACTAATTGGCCACTGCTGTGGTGAACTGCAGGAAACTTTCTTAGCAATCACAGTTCACTAGATGTAAAAATGATTACACAGCACCAGAAAAAAAAACATAACACCAGAGCAGTATTTATATCAAGAACACATCACAGAGAATACAGTAATCGACACAAGACCGCAGATGATAAAGTGAGACTGTGTGTGTGTGTGTGTGTGTGTGTCTTTATGTGCCCGCACACAAAGATCTTCTCTGGAGGTTCAGCCAAATAAATACCAGTCTAAGTAAGTATCTTTATATTGTATTAGTGGCCAATTATTTCTCCAGAATAAAAGTCTTATTCTAAAAAAAAAGCCAAGTCAAGACTCCCTTTGTCTGGAAGGATATACCATACACAGCTCTGTATAGTGGTCTTTCTAAGTTGTGTATACACAGTTTTTGTATTCTCTCTAAGAGGATCTACATGTCTAGAAACAGGCTGTGATAATTGAGGCGAATTATTCATTTG